CGGACTGTCTTGGTAAGATGCGACGTTCCCCAACGCAGCGAAATATCTAGTCACAACAACATCATGTTGAATGATATGAAAATTTGTATTGCGTAATAAAATGACATGAGTCATGATGAAAATTTAATGTAGATCTGTTATTTCTTCTTTCTTGGATCTTCTCATTAGAACACAAGTGCCCATTCTTCTTTTATTGCTTGCACACCTGCTAAGCTTTGTCTCTACTTTGTGTCCCATGTTTTCTTGGAGTTTGGGAAGGTCTTGGAATCCTTAGTGGCATTGATACCAGCCATTCTGTGACATGTGCACAATGTATGCTTATTTATGGCACATAAACATTTCAGATTGGCACCAAAATGATGGAAGTTGGATATATAGACATCACTTTGGCATGAAAAAAGAAATTTCCAAAAATTATGCCTAAGCCACCTTTTAGCTTGGCTCGACTCATATACGGATTCCAACGTGTAAGGTCGGCATAATCTTTCGGTTTAGACAACAATTACGAAGTCAGGGCTCGCCATTGCCACTGGTAGCCCTTGGCGGATTATGCCGGCATAATATTTGGCATAATCTTGGAATTTCGTCCAAAAATTATGCTCCGGCATATTATACGGATTCCAACGTGTAAGGTCGGCATAATCTTTCGGTTTAGACAAAAATTATGCTTAGGGCATGGCCGTGTGTGTATGCGTGGTTTCACAATCCTCTATGTACAGCGTGAATACATAGTGGAACCGAGCATAATTCAGCATAATTCAGCATATATGTTGGCATAATTGTGGCATAATCAAAAGCATAATTTGACGATTGGCCGAGCATAGTCCGCCAATGGCTAGCCACTGGTATCCGCTTCGCCACATTAGGGACCTTTCGCATTTGCTACGAATCGAATGCGAAACGAAAGTTTGATTCGGCTCGTATCGTTTCGTTGAAAACAGGATTCAGGTTTCGCAAGTCGTCATGCAAATGTGCATGGCAACTACGAATATGGCCAGTAGCTTGGCGTACGGGTGTTTACACACACACGTGCATGGATCATGGAATCAAGGGAAAAAGGTTTCCCGTATGTCACGTGATTGTCGCCTTGGAGTTGACCAATGACAGATCAAACAGCGTGGGCTGGAAAGCGCGGTCCTGCCTGCTCAAAGTAATGATGGAACTGGATCCGCTGCCCGTCGTCAAGTGACGACGGTCAGGAACGGATTCCACTGCCCGTCGTCACTTGACGACGGGCAGGAACGGATTCCACTGCCCGTCGTCACTTGACGACAGGCAGGAAGGGATTCCACTGCAAGTGACGACGGGCAGTAGCCACTGGACTGACTCTCTACTTCATGGTCTTTCATTGGTTACTAATAACATACCGTAAAAGTTCGTAAATAAGTACCTGCCCGAAAGAAATACCCCCTTCATTCTTTTGGCTCTGTCTGTTGAAGTCAAGTCGAGCCCGATAAACATACTGCCCGAAATAAGTACCGGTACGGTGCGTACATGCAGCACGTAGCATGTACATCGACATGAAAATGACTTCTCCACTACACACAAGTCAGGTCCGAAAGTTAGTTCGTGCCCGAAAGTCAGTACCCGCCCGAAAGTTAGTACGGGTGTGGTCACTAAATTCGAAAGTAAATACGTACTTATTTACGGACTTTTACGGTAACTACAAAAGTCTAAAGCAGAAGAGCGACTGTTTGCAACCACAACTGTCATCATGGGGCTCCAACAATTGATCTGGAACTGGGAGAAAAGAAGCCCCTTTGTTGAACGATATTGGCGATGTGAATGAGCTCCTCCGAAAAGTTGAAGGAGATCTTGCACGAGCCGGATGAGCCTCAACCAAAGCGCACAATGCTCAGCAACCTGCAGGACCCGCGCAATTTGCCGAGGTTTCCGATCAAGACCTTAGAAAAATCCGTAGGAACAGAACTGTCAGAATGCCCGATGCACAGTCGACAATGTCAATGGCACCACGAGAAAAAAAGCAAAATGGGCTACTACAAAAAACTGTAGATCTACCAGAAAACAATCACAAGACACAAAACACAATGCATGCAGGTGTGTCTAGTCTGTCATGTATCTCTTTATTTGGCTTGGGTGCACACGGGAAAACGTTCCAATCACTCATAGACATACTTGGCCAGTACCGCTGTTCATCCAGCTCTTGCCGCTATCGCGGTGTGGGCTGGATTCCGCGGTACTGCCCTCGTACTCGTGCAGGAACCTGTACGTACCTGGCAAAACATTTGTATCTGGCCAAATAAATGTGTACCTGGCCAAATAAATGTGTACTTGGCGGATTCGGAGCGCGCCACGAACGAAGAGGCTTCCATTCGTGAAAACGAGCTCTCCGCAGGGACTCTGACGAATCCTCGAACCCAGGTGGCGAATCAGCATTCGTTTCGTATCCGTACGCGGGGTGCGAAAGGTCCCTAATCTCTCTTCGCCCCAACATGCAGATTCCGGCGTATGTGAAAACATCTACGAACAACTTTTTTCGTGTACGCTACGAAGGCCAGCCTGCAACCTGTCGTAATTACGTAAATGCTCCCAACCGGGACACACCGCTGCAGCTTGCAAACTCGCCACAGGAACGACATACGCCAAGCAAACCGCGCACACCAGAACAAGCGCAACTGCAACTGTCGGAGTGCAACCTGGTGAACTTAGGCGGTGTTTACATGAGGCGTTTCAACCCGGGTCAGATTTCAACCCGCCATGTGCATAAAATGAATGGCGCGTTTACATGACGCATTGCGCTTGACCCGAGTTGAAATTTCGCCCCGGGTTGATTCAACCCGGGTCAAGAAAATCGTACAAACGTACTTCTGTGCGTATCTCGTGCCAGGTTTGAACGGCGCTGCAGAAGCAAATTTCGCGCGAACGGATTCACGTGACCATACTGGACTGTAGAAGTGGACTTTTGGCGGCATATCAGTATTTGACCCGGGTCAACTGTCTTCATGTAAACGCTCACCTCTTTTGTTTATCGTACAGACTTTCAACCCGGGCTGAACTCGACCCGGGTTGAAATTTCTCATGTAAACACAGCCTTACAGTACAGACCGGAATCCAAAATGAGTCGCCCGACTCGGCACGCTCCAGTAGCCAGGCAGCAGCAGGCCCAGCACCAGCCCGAGTACTCTCTCGAGTATTGGATGTAGTACGAGTGCAACTCCTGTGGGGTAAAATGTTGGAGAACCCGCAGTCAGCACTGAAGTGTTCGAAACGGATTTGAATTTGAAAACTACGAAAGTCGATGAGGGGACTACGGAGGTTACTTCAGCGTTGAAAAACCTGACCGATACTGAGCCAGACATGTCGTCTGCACAGGGATCGCTGTCAAGCATGACTGCACACCCCAGAACTCCCCTCGCGGACGTCGAAGTAGACACTGCAGAGCAAGATCTAGAACGGACAGAGCGACTCCTATCAAAAGTGGCATCAAACATCAACACCGAAGCGATCCACACTTGGTTCAGGCCTGAACGTCGAGGCAGGAATGCCAGCACTGAGTCCTCACCAGAGTTGGCAACTGGGGTGAAGAAGAAGGATTCCCGGAAACTAACAAATCTAGCTCCAGGCTCACGATTTAGTCCGCTTGCCAGAGTCTGATCGTGACTTAAAAAATGAAATAAAATAAATGCAGAACTATAACTATAATGTCACACCCACAGCACCACCTACCCCCTCGGTCCAGTCACTCAGTGTGGGATTTCTGAATGTGTGTAGTGTTCGGCGGAGGGTAGCAGAAGTTCAAACGTTCATCTCAACACGAGGCATTCATGTTCTCGCAATAGCCGAGACATGGTTGACCCCGGATGTGTCCGATAAGGAGTTGTCCATCCCGCACTTCAAACTATGCAGAAGAGACAGACCCGATCAGCGAGGTGGCGGAGTTGCTGTGTACGGTCATGAGTCACTGGCTGTTTGACAACGGGCCGATTTAGAGTGCGAGCTAGAGATGCTGTGGCTGGACATTCTAGCCCCGGGTCGACATGAAACGCTCCTCGGCTGTTGTTATCGGCCGCCAAATAGTTCTGCTGCCTACTGGACAGCACTGGATCAGAACATTGAGGAAGCTGTTCAGGGATGTCAGCAGTCCGCTGTGCTACTTGGCGACTTCAATGTTGATTTTAGCAATCCAACTTCTCCATCTGCATCCGCTTTGTACAACATACTTTCCCACTACAATCTCTGCAATTATGTTACATCTCCAACACGAGTCACGGCAACATCATCCACGATGCTAGATTTGTTCCTCTCATCCTCCCCATTGGATGGTACCTGTGAAGCAATACACTTAGACATAAGTGATCACTTTGCTGTGCCGGCCGGGCTGAGCATTCACACACACCAGCACGTGTCATCGTCAGTAAAAACCACGGTTCATTCGGTTCATAAGCAGAGGACACCCATATTATTCGTCATAAGATCAAAGTCACTGAGCGGAATGAATCCGGAGGAGTTTCACAAGAAACTGCTCTCAGTACTGTATTTGATCACAAAGGCGAACAATTGTACAAAGGCCAAGAACGGCAAATCATTCAAAAACAAACAGAACGACGACCAGCTAGCCGTGAACAGGAGATGGAACGCGAAAACAACAAAAGTGGCTTTCAAAAGGGATGCGCTGGTTGCTTGTTGCTTTTCTTTCTCGTTGCCAAGTCGATTTCTATTGTAACGCCGTTTGTTCCGGATTTTGTACCTGTACCTAGTGTGGTTGCCACCTGATATACATCATGAACATGTAAAACATATTATTGGTTATTCCAAGTGATATGATGTTGATGAGTGATCTGCAGACCTACGAAAACAACTTCAGATCAACAACTGGCTTCTTCTGTTTAAAAGAACAGGCTTATACGGAAACGGACAGCTTCTAGAACATTCAACTGCCTCACATAACTAGCACGAGAAAGAACAGAGAATTAAGCTTCACCCAAACGGTCCGGACGAGATAATAACTGATGGTTTTGTCTTCTTTCACATAGGTTTGAATGAGACCATTTGCCGGCAAAACTGTAGCATCATTTCCGACCTGGACAAATGCGATTTGTGTACCGGTTATCTGTACAACTACACTTGCATAGGTGAGTAGTGGTATTCGATTAGTACGTACAGTATACTGTATGAGGTGACTTCAAGAGTTCAAGTACCGCTTTGAGCCAAATTCTGACTTTGGGGCTAATAATATGGCCGAATTTGGACATTGTCTTAGCCGATCGAAAAGCCGATCAGGCAGAACCAATCGGGCCGATTTTGGAAATGCCTGAACACAGCTTCCCCATCACTCTCTCTCTATTTATATACGTCTTTGAAGTATATATAGGTATGGTCAGGGAAAGTCCCGGTTCGCAGGCTTACAACACGGTCAGCGTGTTCTTGAGCGCAGTAACAACACAAGTGTGATTACTTCCAGACCAACGGGCGTTCAAGGCGAGTAACAAGCGCACTTGACGAAGGTGACTCTGAAATCTCGTGAGCCGTGATCCACGCGACTTGGCATTCTTGCGTCACAAGGCACGTGATTTCACCGTGCCTCTTGTAGTAAAATTCAAGAATTGCGCTCATTCCTTCAGTCACTTTTGCATCAACAGTCGCACAAAAAATTATTGGTGGCGCAAGGAGAAGCTTGTCGTTTGGAGTGACAAGTGATCACCGCTGCTTTTCCTTGTCAGAGCCAACAATACACTTTGTTCTGCGGCCTTGGAGTAGAAATTGCTGAGGATACGTCGCGGAGGGGCGAGCTTTCCTGCGCAGGTATGACTTTGGCCGTATTTCAGCATGGTCGAGTGGAAACATTCAAAAAAGTTTATTTCAAGAAAACCCCAAAAGGAAGATGGGGGACATGTCCTCAGCGCTAGAAGAGGTGTTCTACTATCTGCCGGTGTATAGTTCTGGCCAATTGAGGACGTAGCTGGCTGTTTTGCCAGCGTTTGTAAATTGGCTATTTTCAAGACGATCATTTGTGGCATCAGGGGGTGATGGACCTTGTCTTCTGGGATCCTGGCGTGGCTAAGCGGTACTGCTCCATGAATTCTTCTAAGGTGAGGCAATGTTGGCTTGATGGAGTTTTGTTCATAGCTTGTTCGTATACGCTGTGGCGTGACTCGTTTCTAGACCTATAAATAATGTGATATTTCGGCCATTTCTGAGGGGTATCCAAATTTCAAGGTTCCCTTCAGAAACTTTTTCAAGGGCTTTGCACAATCGATCCACACCCCAAAGGGAACCTACCTGCATTTTTCGAGCGAAATCAGAGAGATCCACTTGCACATATACTTTGGTATATACTTTGGTATTCTCAGACATACTCTCTTAACAATTCACAGCCATTCTTCCTTTTCTGTCTCAAACCAAGATCATTACATCCCTTTCATAAGCGTCATTATCAGCATAATAAGGCAATTATTGGAGCATTTTTGCTAGCATTATACAAAAGTTTTCGTAGCTTTATCCGCTGGACCCAAGACGTGCACATGTTCAAATTACTATGACGCAATCAGAACTGGTAAAGGGCGCCAGGTTTTCACTTTGGGTTGGGTTTCACCGAGCCCAATTGTATGTGGTACATACATAGTAACTCCTCCATCAACATTGTCTTTTATTTCCGCTCCCATAACCATGACTTGTCGTAGATGTTGCTGATGTTGTCGGTATCGTTTTTGGAATCTTTCATTTTTATTTTCGTAATAACCTGTGGTCACAGAGAGCAGAAGGAACACAGATACGGAATCAAATAAAAAATATGTAAAAAAACACTGCATTCTAAATCGCAACGATACCAATTAAAAGTTTATGGAGTGCAGCGGTGTGGTATAATGAGGCTATAGTTACGATAAGCTATGCGAGAAGTTACATACCGAAGAGATAAAGATACGCAGGCTTTGAAATCATATCTGTGCTTGATTTACGAAGCTGGGGAGTTTCTTAACCTTCTTGTGCGTTTTGTGGGTACCTCAAAGATTCAGAAGATTCTTAGGTTGCGAATGAGTTGGATTCGGAGTAGATGGATTGCAGGAATGTATGGTGGTGTACATCTATGATGCTGGCTGTGTGCAAAAATGAATTAGCAGAGATTATGGCAGCTGCTAGATGAGTGTGCCTTCGCCTGTAGTCCATTTGGGTGACTGTACCATGCCAAGCTTTGTTGTTCCATCTTAAACTTGAATTGTGTGTTCTATTTATGGCCACGTCATCCACGTTTTATGATAATTATTTTTTGTTCCCTCTCTTATTAACATTTCTGTTGTTTTAAAGTGATAGCGGCTGTCGTGAGTTCCCTTCGGGAAGGCACACGATAATTTACTCTGTACTTTTTTTCCTTTTTCCTTTTATATTTTTGTTTCACGGAGAAGACGTGGTGTTGGCAGCTGAGTTGTTAGTTTCTAGTCGAGAATAAAAAAACCATGGCGAAATGGGTTGTCTTTTTGCTTTTGTTCCCATGGTTTCACGCAATTAGCCCTTTGTGAATAAAGTTTAAGTGCATTCTCAAGTAAGTGAACTTGTAGCAGTCAAAGGGCGTTGGCGTCTAATGGATAGGTACCAGGAGTGATTCCATTGAATGAATGCATAAGCGTGCGCACGCACGCGCACACACACACACACACACACAAACACACACACACACACACAGACAGGTCACAAGAGAAGCATGAAAATCTCCAAATGTACATGATATACACCCAAGTCTGTGGACAGCAACTGTTTCGCTCTGTTAGAGCTCATCAGCACAGCTCAAAGGACCGAAGCGCAGCTCTTCGCAATGAAATATATTTCCATGAAGCAAAGCATTTTTATAAAGAGCTGCAAACCCCGCCAAGAGTACTCTAAATGATATACACCCATATATACACCCATATATTTTCTCTTATAGCAAAGATAGGCTAGATCACACACACACACACACACACACACACACACACACACACACACACACACACACACACACACACACACACACACACACACACACACACACACACACACACACACACACACACACACACACACACACACACACACACACACACACACACACACACACACACACACACACACACACACACACACACACACACACACACACACACACACACACACACACACACACACACACACACACACACACACACACACACACACACACACACACACACACACACACACACACACACACACACACACACACACACACACACACACACACACACACACACACACACACACACACACACACACACACACACACACACACACACACACACACACACACACACACACACACACACACACACACACACTACTACTACTATGTACAACTGCCACAAAATGGCCACGTCGCTCCCAGAAGCGGGAGACAACAGCGAGAAAAAAGAAACAAGGAGGTGAAAGGGGGCCGTTCTACACATAGCTAGTGTTTCTGTCTTCGGTGGCGGGTGAGGTCCTGCGGGCGGGAGAATCGTCCGTTACATAGGCTGCATTGAATGGGCAGATTAGTCCTCTGGTCCTTTCGCAGTCGTTTGCCTCGAGTACAATTATGGCGGTTAAAACCAGCCTGACTCTTCATGCAGCGATCACAGATCGAGCAATGGTGCTGGCAGCAGTCCAAAATCAGGCTGCATCTCGTTGAAACAGCTGGTATTTCGTCCGATGTCTGACGCTCCACACAACGATGAACTGCAAAACCGCCAGCGCTTTGAAACCAGCGGTCACAAACTCCACAGTGATGGGCCCCAGGCTGCTGGGCAACAGGTAAGGACCGTACAGCTGAGCACTTGTGACGGTGAATCCCACGAGCAGTGAATGATCGGTTGCAAACCTTGCAGGTGACTTTGTTGTTGTTACACTCCACGAGATCATCCGGAGTCTTTGCAATTGCCTCGCGCCATGCTGGGCGATCCTGAGCCAAAGTGAGCCAATTCACTATGCCACCGAAACGAAGATCACGTGCGACGAGGTCTTTCCATCGCAGTCGTGGCCCACAGGCTGGGCGTGGATCTGAGAAGAAGCTAAACAGTATCAGCTTCGGAAGCCGGTTATCTGGCATTCTGGCGACATGCCCAAGCCACTGCAGACGGCGGTGTCTGACGGTATCAGATGGCAGAGCCATATCACCCCAGCGTCTTCGCAGCTCCTGGTTGTTGACATGCTGCAGCTGTTGATCGAGCCGGGATACACCCAGAATGAACCTGAGGGAGCGGTGGTGGAAGTTGTTGATGGCAACCATGTCTCTCTTCAGCGGAGTCCAGCACTCACAGGCATAGAGCAATGTGGACAGAACGCAAACATCGTAAAGATGGCGCTTGGTGGCGATGGAAAGGTTTCGGTCAAGAAAGACACGGCGCATAAGGTCGAAAGCTGCCGCTGCCTTACCGAGTCTTCTGGCCACATCTGCAGATGAGCGGGTGTCAGCAGTTATCACAGAGCCAAGATACACAAAGGATTTGACACTTTCGATCTCCTCCGGACCAACAAAGAGCGGGAGGCGGTCAGCACATGATAAATTTGCACCAACGGCCATGAACTTGGTCTTCGCTGTACTCAGAGTCAAGCCGAAGGAAGAAGCAACGCTGCTGAACAGCTCCAAAGCCAGTTGAGCTGACTCACGGGATGGTGCAAGTAGTGCTGCATCATCTGCAAACTCCAGGTCGTTGACCGATGTCGTGCCAGTTTGACGGGTTCGCTTGGGAAATAGATTGCCACTTCCATGGATTGAAGATATCAGGGACACACCGTTAACACCAGCTGCTGCTATAGCTGAACGCCATGCTTCCAGCACAAGACCAAAGTACAGGTTAAACAACAGTGGGGCCATAACGCACCCTTGCCGCAAACCATTCTCAACCGAGATGTTCCAAGACACATCACCATCAACCCGAACAGCAGCCTGCATGCCTGAATGGAAGCCGTCAATCAGCTGGATGAGTGACCCAGGCACACCATACACCTCAAGGGCCAGCAACAGTGCAGCGCGCGGTACCGAGTCGTACTCCTTGCGGAGATCGATGAAAACGAGAAAGGCCTTACAGCGGTGCTCGAATGCCTTCTCGACTACCTGTCGCACGCAAAAGATGGCATCTGTGCAGGA